GCAGTACAACACACCTCCAGGTAGAACCACCCAAGAGTATCTGCCACTCACTGTACTTACTATTTATCTTGTTCTGACGTTGAATTAGTGTGTATTTTTATAATATATTGAATTTTTATAGAAATCCTATACATTTCTACTCAAAGGTAAGTCCTATTAACTTCAGTGGGACTTACTCCCAAGTAAGTACACAGGCCTATGGGGACAGTCACGGGCCTTTGCTTGGCTTTTTTTGCTCAGGTCTCTATGATACAATATGGGAATTTTTATCTTAGAAACATATAATTTACTTTAGAATCCTCTTGTAGATAGGTGCAAGTTGAAACCCAAAACTATGTTTAATTTTCACACCAGCGAAATGCCTGAACAGAGGCTATAGTGATTCCTCGGCAGTAACTCACACCAAACTCCTATAACAAAGGGGTCACCATACACTGAAAAGGCCAAGTGTGTGGAGCAGCAAACCTCCTGAATAACAGGAGTAACCTGGTATCAGTCTCCTGAAGGGCAAGTTCTGCAGTCCATTCTCACATGATAGAAACTGATTATTATTTCAGTTTTCATGAGAAATATCACAAATGTGAGCACGCACGGCCAATAACTGTGTCTCATGTGTGTTCCTGATAGATGATTCTGGCCTACTTCATAAGGCTATATTAGTTATACGTAATTCAGCAGAACCAATGCTACTGGACATGTCCCTTTCTATAATGTAAAGCTCTGACAAATAGGACAAGGCCCTGAAGGACTAGGATTCAAAGATTTTTCACCTCTAGCTGCAAATGAACACATGCAGAAAGGAGTGTTGTCTAAAATAAAAAAAATTGGGGCTTGCAGGCTTTCACCCCTCACCCCAGTCATCTCCAGGAAATAAGGCTGGCTTTAAGAAATGCTAGGGCAGAAGTTTACCAGCAGCCTTAACCACCAATTCTCCCCTGAAAGTGCCCCAATAACAATGACTAGCAAATGTGCTGAATCTCCTGGAAACTGCAACTTAATACAACTGGACATCTTCCAGACAAGAAAAACCTTTTCCTTTGTAGAGGACTTAAGAAAACACCAAGTTCTCACACAGTTTTATTACACAGATTTCTACCTGCAGAAGAATGAGAATGAATAGCCTATGTACATATGTACAGTACTAGGACACTCTGTGGCCAAACCAGCATCCTGGTAGCACTTGTGAGCTAACTGTCCCTGCCTTAAGTAGAAACAACTAACCAAACCACAGATCTTTGATCCACAGGTAGTTTGTTTAGCATCATGTCCAAAAGGAGTAAAATTCAGAACTTTGGTTTCCTCCTCTTCTGGCGAGCTAGAGAAAGAACCTAAGAATCATCCGTGGGCAATTTCTCTGCCGCCATGGCAGAAGAAGCCACTGACTGAAGGTTTGGAGTGGTTGAGCCCATTCATTCCTGCCGGCAGCAGTACAGCTCAGTCAGGATGTACCCACTCAACTCCCATGATTGGAAAGCAAGGTCTTCCCTGGAGCCCTAGCTTGTTACGGTGTCTATAAGGAGCTTACACAAATGCATACATTGTTCAGCAAAACTTTAAGATGCAACCAATGGTGTGCTCTTTTCTTCAAGAAAATGGCTAACCAAATTAAAGCAAGTAAGTGGCCCACTTTACATTATTCTGGAATCTGGCCCATGTGTCTTTACTCTGGGACCTCAGGACTTAATTTTTTAAAAAAATGAAGAAATAAAAAATGGAGACTGAAAAACTAAGCAACAGCAAGGTGCTTTTGGCTTATGAAAGGCAGGAAGAAGACAAACACAATGGCTCTTTTTTCTTTTTTTAAATATGTAAAAATCTACCCAGAGAAGATCACAGAGAGCTTCCCTCTCAGAGCAACGATGCTGCTCACTCTGGCAATGAGAGCAGAACTTGACAGTGAAGAGATATTAGGTCATTTTCCTATCCATTAAGATGGCCTGAATATTAAAAGTTGTAGTTTTAGAAGAGGTAGCTGTTTTCGTTTCTGCAAGCTTGCTTGCTTTCCGGCCTGATATGCATATTGAGAATTGCCTGGAGAGGCCACAGTACTGATCATTGTAACTGTCTGAAAACATATTTGCTAAATATTTGATCTGGTGCATAGCAAAGGAACAGACAATATAGCTAGCTTTTGTGTCAAATGATAGAGGCGAACTGAACAGGTCCATAGACCGCTGTTCATGTGAGCCAAGACAGAAAACAGAAATCCATCCTTACTCCACGGAGCCTCTTCTGAACATGGGGACAGGGAGTGGGGGCAACATGTAACTGAATCGATGTACAGTCAGCAAGGAATTAGTAGTAAAATTATTGAACTCTTAATACTGTAATCACCTAATGAAATTTAAAGAGAGAAAAATGGCATAAGATAGCAGCAGGAATTATCTATTACCGGACAGGCCCAGAAGAAAAAAATAACAGAACACCCCTTGTTGTCAACAGCAGCTTCAAGCTAAAACTACATAATATGTAATCAGACTACATAAAACAGAAGTCAAACTCTGTGGCAATTCCAAACACAAGTTTTTGCCTCATCCCTGCTTTGGCAACCCTACTATGGAATGTAATGCTGGGCCCCTGTCTTAGATGCTACGTAGCCTAGGCCCAGCTTACTACTTCCTGTAAATGTACAACAATGTAAGATGCCACAGAACTTCCTGAGAGTTTTGCTTGCCTTTATGCACTATAAAAAGTGTCTCCCAAAGAATTTTAATGTCCAGGAAGCATCATTAGCAGCTGTCCTTGTTCTACACCTACCACAGGAAAGAGTCCCTGCAGACTATGTAGCCTCTGAGATGCAGCTCTGATCCAGGTCAGCAAAATGTAATTGTCGGTAGGTGTGGGTCTACGGCCGAGAACTTCCAGAATTATGAGGAATTCCTGGAGGATTCTGGGGATTGGAGTCCAAAGACTCTGACAAGTACATTCCTAATAGTGTTTCTGTTTCTGGGCAAGACCTGTGACTGCTTATTTGAACAACATCCCTTAAAGGGGCAGCACACTGGAAGGCCAAAAAGGCATTTGCCGCTGGGCAACAGATGTGCCATGAAATTATTGTGCCTAGTTCGCTGCTGCCTCCCCATACAGAATGAAAGCCATGAGGTGTAATAACAACTCCTAGTCTTTCCACGCCATCAACATGCGAACCACACAAGCACCTGAATCCATTGTAGAATGCCACATGAGAAGCAATGAACATCTGTATCAGTTGAGAGGAAAGTCCATCAAGACCACCTTCCTTCCTTCCTTCCTTCCTTCCTTCCTCCTTTCTTTCTTCTTTCTTTCCTTTCTTCCTTTCCTTTCCTTCCTTCTCTCTCTTTCTTTCCTTCCTTCCTTTCTTTCCCCCTTTTTCTCCTTTCCTGGCTTTCCTACTTCCCCCTCCCTCTTTTCCTTCCTTCCTTCCTTCCAACAGGCAGCCCGATGGCTCTGAGGGGTCACATTCATATGACAAAGCCAAGAGCCCCCTCCCATAACTTGCTTCCCAGGACCTATTTATCATGGTTGTACTGCCTAAGCATGTGCAGCCTTTTCCTTTTAGCTCCCAAGGCTAAACCAGCTAAGAATTCTGCAGCAAAAAGGCTGATTTGCTGTAGGGTTTTCTGTACTCCAGCTGCCTTCTTCAAATGCACTGGAAGAAGCAGGTTGAAGTCTTTAAAACAGTATTCCAAACATAACTTTGTAGTCTCTGAGGTGCCACAAGCCCCCTTGCTGTTTTTGCTGCAAAAGACTAACAGGGCTATCTATACCCTTGGATATTTAAAACAAAACAAAAACAAAACAAAACCTCAGCCCAACCTCAGTGCAGAGAATTCCGCCGCCAGTAGTTTGCAGGCTGCCTCTTCCTAAGACAAACAAAACAAAAACAAAACAAAACAAAACCTCAGCCCTTTTATAAGGGGTCAGAGAACAAACAATACACCTTGTGCAGAGAATTCCACCGCGAGTAGTTTGCAGGCTGCCTCTCCCTAAGACATTGCATTTACTTACGTATTCATGAGGACAGGGGGAAAAATCCAATGCCATCACAGCCCTTCTACTATCAGAGTCAACAAGTGGGTTTTGGAGAGCAAGCACGCACAGCCACAAAAAAAAACAGGTGTGCAAAAAACCCAGTTTCCACCAACTCTCTTCTCTTCTTCCTCTGTCCCTCCCTGCTAAACCAGTTGATAAGGCAGTATCAGTGGAGGTGATTCTACCAAGTGCCTGTTTCAAAGACCTCTGAGGCTGTCTCAGTTAGTCTCAGGCAGGGGGCTCCCCGGGTTCATTAGGAAGGGTCAGGCAGCAGAAACCAGGAAGAACTCATCAATTTTACTTTATTACCATCTCCTGAAGCCAAGAGCTATGGTCAAGCAGAAACCCTGAAGCCCAACTGACCTCAGATCTGATCCAGCCATATACAGGATCACATGTCCTGAAGTCTGTTCTCTTTTCCTGCCTCCTGCCTGCCATCCCTGCACTCCTCGTCTCTGAGGCACATTGCTTGACTCATGGAACGCTGACTGCGCCATAGCTAATCTCAGTTCTTGAATCAATGAAACATCACTCCAAAAGCTCATCAGGATTCAGACATGAAAAGAAAAACAACCTCTATATTCACAAATAGTATAACGACCTTTTTGTTTCCTAGGTTGTTTACAATGCAGGTACCAAACACTTTTCTCTCAAAGGATAACTGCTTCCTCCCCCCTCCCCCCCCCAAGGGCCACTTAAGAAGATATAGCATCAGTTTCTTAGCTTCTCAGATTTCATATAGAAAACGAAGGCAGAGCTGGGAGTTCAGGTTGGGGATGGGATTCCTCCCTGCTAGAAAAGGCAGTTCAATGTATCTGAAAGCATGGAAAGTATGAAGAGAGAAACTAGTTGGTGTGAGAAAGAGTTACCTGGTCTGAAAGGTTTCAGGCCCTCTCTGGCAACTTCAACAGGGTGAGGGAAAGAGCTCTGCTCCAAAGAATGCGGGGAAAGAAAACAACCTCACACTTTCCCCAACAGCTTTTCCTTACCTGCGATCGTGGCATCGTCCAGGTGGGTGCCTGGGGCCCTTTCCCCCTGTCCTTGCTGTAGAAGGAAACCACAAAGGATCCATACTGCTACTCTGGACCACACATCCATGTTCACTGAGGGAAAGAAGACTCCTTGGCAATCTCTGAACGTCAAGTCTCCTGGAACATCAATTCCCAACAGAAACAGAAGAGCCCAGAGTCCTATTTCGCTCTGTCCTTTAATTCTTATATTCCAAAAGAGTGTGGGAAATGTCCACTATTCCAGAAGTCAGGTGTCTGTTTCCAAAAGCTGCAGAAGTAAAGGGTGGAAATGCTTTAAGGAGTTTTTTCCCCTTGGCACAGCTTGAATGTCCGCCCTCAACTCAACCGCCTCCCTAACTTGTTTCCTTCTCTTCTCTTTGCGCTAAGGCACAGAAAGGGACCCTCCAAGTCTTAAAAGGCTCACAAGAAACCATTTCCGACATGCCAGAAAACTGAGGAAGAGATAAAAAGGGCCCTTGGGCTTGACTACTTCTTCTCCTGAATTATTTACTAAGCAAGCCCTCACAGGACAGCAACAGAGCTACCCAATCTGTCACTCCAGCAGAGCACAGCCAACCTCCCAGTAGAGGCCAAGGGGGTTTAGCCACACTGGGGGGGGGCACTCAATCATGCCCGCTCTGGATAATTAAAACCCACCGTTGGCTTCTCTTCGACAAGGAAGAGGGACATTAAGCATCCCCTAAGAGCTCGATCCTCAGCCTTCAAACACCAACTGCCTTACTTAACCTGTCACCCGGAAGCCCCAGCAATATTTGCTCTGCAACCTCTTTGCTCTGCAAAAGCCCAGGCAGGTCAGTGAGCTGAGACAACCCAGGGGATCCCAAGGACAGCCAGAGCAAAAAAACTAAACACCCACACCGTTGCTCACGCTGTTGCTCATCTGCACCCCTTCCTGAGAACTAAAAGCCCCCCAACCCCCCCCCCCCCCCCCGCCGCTGCCCGGTCAGGAAACTCCTCGGGCTGCCACCTGA